GTTTAGCACTAAAAACATGGAAAACAGGGTTTTTGGTAATAAATATAATTAAGGTTCAAGTTCGTCTGGAGTAGAGTGATCGATACCGGGGTAGAGTAATAAGTAATATAAACAAACAAATAAATAAAAAATTATGGATAAAAAAAACAGCATAAGGACCTGATGTTGATTAATCTATAAATTCCTAAAAAAACACAACCGCCTCTGTGCCAAACCCCCTCTCAACTATACCAAACCATCTCCTTTACCATACCAAACCTCTTCTTCAAAGCACACCAAACACTTTTTTCTACTCTACCAAACCCGACATCTAACATACCGAACCCCTCAAATTAACATATAAAACCACTTCTTCTACATTTCAATCCCATCTCCTCTCAAAAAACCAAATCCCTCCTCGGCTAAAACTCAGAGTTACAATATATTATATCAGAGAAGTATCTTTATGAGGCTTAGGGAGTGGAATTGTTTTTGTCGTGAGAAAAAGTCCTGCCGTGACAGGAATTGAACCGAGGACCTTGGGATCACAAGGCAAGCATCTTATTCTCCACTCTTCTGGCGACCACTACGAGTCAATACCATGTTTGTAAGTGTGAGTTTTCGCTCTTCGTACACTGGTCACTTAAATGCACGATAGAACTACTACTATCTTGTCAGTTGAATAAGACTCCCCAACCGACTCCCCTGCAGTTTGTTGATCGCCTAGTCTTGCCAAATATCATGGCCAAGCGATCATGTGATGCTGCAAGACCAAGTACTCAACTTCGCCAAGGCTCACATAGTTACCCCGTCTCGCATCGTGCGGGACGGTCCCGCATTTCAAAGTTATTTTGGTTGAAACACGCATTTTGCAGAAACACATGCGTGATCATAAATTTGTCGCGCATTTAGCACAGGTCTATGCGTGATAACGAATTGTCACATTAAATTCAGGGGAAAATCTATTAAAAATTAGAAGAAATTAGTTTTATTAAAAATATTAAAACGGTCATGCCGCAGTTTAAACTTGAGTCATTAGACAGTATTTACGTGAACGTGAATACTTAATTCACTGACGCGCTACTAAACATTAATCAGTATGCCTATTCATTTTTTGCTTGTTTAAGTAATGAAATGTTTGTGTACATAGTTCGGGTGCTCAAATTAAACATAATGTAGGCCCCATTTGAAACTCAAATTGTAGGCCTATAGGCCTATCTTTTTATTATTAAAAATATTTTTGTAGGCCTACCCGGTATTGTCAACAAACGCTCATTGAAATCGATTTAAAACAGCTTAAAATGCTCAGATCCTCATGGCTCCGCCTCTGGATCGTAAGCCTTATTTTGCACCTGTCTCTTATACACTGGTGTACTCACGCATTTCAAATATTTATGGTTGGTAACTAATGAACAAAACATGTCGTAATCTGCTCGATTCTGAAATTAAAACTTTTAAAAGTGAAAATTTGGCCAATTTTCTGCAAAAAAACGTAAAGTTTTGCGTTTGTGGCATACAGCTGCTTTAATAAAAAGTGACTTCTATTTTTTATTATTCAAAATCTTGCTTTTCATTTTGTTTGAAGTTTAGATAGAAATCCCTCTAGTATATTTCCAATTGTTTCATACAGTATTCATCATTTGCATATTTTATAATATATTTTAACAGGATTTTAGTAGCCTTTATTTTTATGAAATATAAAGTACTTTAAGATAATACTAAATGTTCATTAAAATCACTAAAAATTATTTTAAAAAATAAGGCAAAAAAAGCAATTTCGCTGTACAAAATAGGCCTAATGTATCCTTGCTGATTGCTCCGCAGGTAATATACCACCAGTACCATACGTACAATTGAACCAAATATATTCTAATCACATGTATTATTAAATCACCTGACTCTCTCCCTGACGGGTTCCGGGGTCGACGAGGCTTCTTGTCGGTTATACGCCGGTAACCCTACGCTGAGTCTGGGCCCGGGTCTTGGCGAAGGCCCGAGTCTTGGCGAGGTTGAGTACTTAGCTTTGCGCATCGTATGATCAGACCATATATATATAGGGTCTGTGTTATGATGACGCTTGGCGGTGATACTTGACAGGACTAGGCGATTAACAGACTGCAGGGGAGATGCACAGGGAGTCTCGGTCAACTGACAGGCACTCGGGATGGCTATGCTAGGTTCAGTGCATCATCGTGGCTTAGGGGTCGCACTGCTTCCTCCCTCCGTTCAGTTGGCTGGGGCCAAGCAAGTAGTTCTATCGTGCATTTAAGTGACCAGCGTACGAAGAGCGAAAACTTGAATACTAAAGAACAGAAACACACTTACAAACATACGGAATCACCTACAGTATGTGCCATTCGACTTATACACATCTAGATGTGTATAAGAGACAGTGATTAATCTATAAATTCCTAAAAAAACACAACCGCCTCTGTGCCAAACCCCCTCTCAACTATACCAAACCATCTCCTTTACCATACCAAACCTCTTCTTCAAAGCACACCAAACACTTTTTTCTACTCTACCAAACCCGACATCTAACATACCGAACCCCTCAAATTAACATATAAAACCACTTCTTCTACATTTCAATCCCATCTCCTCTCAAAAAACCAAATCCCTCCTCGGCTAAAACTCAGAGTTACAATATATTATATCAGAGAAGTATCTTTATGAGGCTTAGGGAGTGGAATTGTTTTTGTCGTGAGAAAAAGTCCTGCCGTGACAGGAATTGAACCGAGGACCTACTTGTCAGTATAATCTATCTCGCCATGACAACAGACAACTTTTATTATGTCGACTTGTCAAGATAATCTATCTCGCCATGACAACATAACATTTTTACTATGTCGACTTTTCAAGACAATCTATCTCGCCATTACAACATACAACTTTTATTATGTCGACTTGTCAAGATAATCTATCTCGCCATGACAACATAACATTTTTACTATGTCGACTTGTCAAGACAATCTATCTCGCCATTACAACATACAACTTTTATTATGTCGACTTGTCAAGATAATCTATCTCGCCATGACAACATAACATTTTTACTATGTCGACTTGTCAAGACAATCTATCTCACCATTACAACATACAACTTTTATTAAGTCAACTTGTCAAAATAATCTATTTCGCAATGACAACATAACATTTTTACTATGTCGACTTGTCAAGATAACCTATCTCACCATGACAACATACAACTTTAACTATGTCGACTTGTCAAGATAACCTATCTCGCCATGACAACATACAATTTTACTAAGTCGACTTGTCAAGATAATCTATCTCGCCATGACAACTTAAAATTTTTATTACGTCGACTTGTCAAGAAAACCTATCTCGCCATGACAACATAACATTTTCAATATGTCGCCTTGGCAAGATAGTTCATCTTGACATGTCGACATGATATGTATATGATGGGACTTGACAACATAAATTATCTTGACAAGTCGTCAAGTCGAATGGCACTTAGGTGCTTCCGTACTAACATGGTATTCACTTGTAGTGGTCTCCAGAACGTAAAAACTCGCTCTGGATGTTGACAAAACGGAGCTTTTTTACCAAGCTGTTTTCTGGTGATGCTTCC